AAGCCAGCTACCGCAGCCACGCTGAACTCACTCAGGGTACAGCCCCGAGAGCCCTGCGAGGTGAGAGGGACAAGGGAGTGCGCAGGCAAACCAGGAAGGTGGAACAAGAATGAGCTGTGACCCCCAGGAAGCGCGCTCTGCGTTCTAACAAGCCACAAAGAGCGCTTAAAGGGAGTAACGGAAACAGTTCTAGGGGTTGCTTTCTGCACCAGGAATGAGCAGAATTTCTGACTAGACCACTGCTTTGGCATTTCAGATGGAAGCTGGAAACTTACCCACAGACTGCCCCTTTTCCCCATCCCTCCGCACTGCCATGCGCAGGTTCAGGCCTCTTCTCTGTGAATGCCCTCACCCCAGTCTTCGCTCCCTCTACCCTCTGTGTCGTCACCATCACCAGCATGGTCCTTCTGAGTGCACATCTGGCTAACCTCTGTCCTTACCTCTGTTTCAGCTGCCTCTCACCCCTGATGCCTGCCCTTCAGGACAGAGGTAAAGAAACGCAAGTGCGGCTGGCTGACACTCCCAGCCCTGCAGCCTGCACGCCCACACGGTGCGTCCGCACACGCCCCCTCAGCCTGGAGGCCAGTGCGCTCGCTCCACTAGATGGAGGGTTCCGCGCAGCAGTGTCTCACTTCATCTCAGGATGACCAACACGTAAGGGCCAGAAGATGCGGCCCTAACACACAGCCAAGAAGATGCCGAGTGAGCGTCAGAGTAAAGGGAAAAATAAATGCCTGAAACAACAAATTCGAGTGTTCTCGCTTCACAGCACGGAGTCTGACCTGTTGTAAGGGCCACCTCTCAGGAGTGGTGAAACCAAGACTTTCAGGTACACCTAAAGTGCACCAGGCCGGCGCCGCGGCTCACTAGGCTAATCCTCCGCCTAGCGGCGCCGGCACACCGGGTTCTAGTCCCGGTCGGGGCACCGGATTCTGTCCCGGTTGCCCCTCTTCCAGGCCAGCCCTCTGCTGTGGCCAGGGAGTGCAGTGGAGGATGGCCCAGGTGCTTGGGCCCTGCACCCCATGGGAGACCAGGAAAAGCACCTGGCTCCTGGCTCCTGCCATCGGATCAGCGCGGTGTGCCGGCCGCAGCGCGCTGGCCGCGGCGGCCATTGGAGGGTGAACCAACGGCAAGGGAAGACCTTTCTCTCTCTGTCTCTCTCTCTCACTGTCCACTCTGCCTGTCAAAAAAATAAAAAAAAAATAAAAAAAAAAAAAATAAAGTGCACCAGATCCAGAGAAAATAAAAGGAAGGTGCGGCCACAGAGCAGGGAGAATGTCGTTTATTGCCGAGCTGGGCCTCTAACTCATCATGGGTCCTATTCCAAATCCTCTTTTGGACGCATGATTATATACACAGACAAATGGGATTAGGCAATTCTCAAGAAAGAGACCAGAAATGCCCAATTATAACTTAGGTACATGCTACACAGATACAGAAACATGCTGTGGAATATTTTCTATTTGTGGCTCGGTTTTTGCCCATGAATCTCAAGCACCTAGCACCCATGAAGCACCCATTCCACATCATCAGAGCACCTGGGTCCAAGCCCCGCCCCCCCGCCGTTCCGAGCCACATTCCCGCTAACGTGCACCTAGCAAGGCAGCAGGTGACGCCGCAAGTACTTGGGTCCCTGCCCCCCACATGGGAGACCTGATGGGAGTTCTAGGCTTCTGGTTCAGCCTATGCCAGGTCTGGCTGCTTCTGGCATTTGGGGGAGTGAACCAGCAGACAGACGATCCTCCTGCCTGCCCCCATGCTGCTCTAAATGAATGAAAATTTAGGAAAATATTAGAATGGATGAGACAGACATGTGTTTGGGCACCCGCTCTGCCCATTTTAGTCTTTGTTGTGGACACACGCAGGTGTCCACGCCCCATTTCCACCTCGGCCGAGACGCGGCCAGGAAGGTTACCAGACTAAAGGGCATTCCAGCCTGGCCAATAACCTATGTCAGGGCCTTGCTAGAAAGAACATGAGTAGATCCCTCGCTCAGCATTTCATCTGCAAGGAGAGATGACAGATTCAGGAGCTGCAGCAGCCAGATGGACCCCATTCAGGCAGAGCCATGAGGGACTCAGACAAGGAGCAAAAGCAGAGAAAGCCAGCAGGACGCACCAAGGAAGGGTGAGGGGAGTTTGACTGTGCGGCTATTGCTACCGTCGCTCCGGCCCAGGTCAGCCTCACTGCACTGCTGGGAGACCATTATCTGCACTCACATACACCCTCTCCCTTTAGTAAACTTAGGAGTTGGTTCGGTTTCCTCTTCAAAAGAGAGTCCGCCCACAGAGAGCTACACAGAGTAAAAACGACCACTACGTACCAAGCATCTACTGTCTATCAGCTACCCAAGTCACGTCCCCAGGGACCCAGGTGAGCAGACCCAGGTGTGCCTCAGCCTGGTGCAGCCCTGCTCTGTCCCGTCCTCTCAACTTCACCTCCTGCCTGGTCCCAGTAGCTCCTGTAGTCCAGCTGCATCAACGCAATCGCAGTTCCCCAAACTCACCCCTCCACGTCCATCACGCGGTCTCTCCAAGAAGCCCTTCTCCCTCTAGTTACCTTGGCCTTCAGCACGCAGCCCGAGGCCATCTCTTTTGAACACTTCTGAAGGCCTCCCAGGTTAGGCTAAGTCAGGCTCGCCTCTTCTGGACGTCCCACAGCAACGTCTGCACTTGTCCTGGCTATACGGTCACAGCGGTCACGGCCAGTTTGTAAGCAGGCCAAGTTTAAAGCACACACCTGACAGAGCAGGTGGGCGTCTCAGGGAAGAACTGAGAGCGCTGTCTGCTTCAGGCTGGAGTCTGAGAGCCCTGGGTGCCGCCCACTTCCCCCTTCCTCTTCTCGCGGTCAGTTCTGTGCCAAGAACATCTCGTGTGTCTTTCTACTGCTCAGGCCCAAGACGGCTCCCAAGGCTCTTCTCTAGGGCACACCCCAGGGACGCCACCACGGTCTTCTCGGTCTTCTCTCGTCAGCTGCCAGGCTTCCTCCTTCAGCCCGCAGTTGAACAGGGGCTCAGCACCTCCCCTTTTTTCTAGCCCCAGGAAAAGCGTACCAGCTCCTCTCGTTCATGGTTCTGCTACTACTCGCTATCAGGAAACAGGGAGAGTAATACAAAATACTGTCAGTGGACCAGCAAGTGAAGCTGCCGCCTGCCGCGCCAGCATTCCACATCTGTGCTGGTTCCTGCTAATGCTCCCGGGAGAGCCGCGGAGGAGGGTCCAAGTGCTTGGGCCCCTGCACCCACGTGGGAGACCTGGAAGAAGCTCCTGGCTCCTGGCTTTGGATTAGCCCAGCTCCGGCCATTGCAGCCACTGGGGAGTGAACAAGAGGATGGAAGATTTCTGTCTCTCCCTCTTTTTCTCTAACTCCGCCTTTCAAATAAATAAATAAATCTTTAAAAGAGAAAAAAAAAAAAAAAAGAAAGAAAATAGTGTCAGAGAAGAAACAATGTAACTATGACCCCCAGGCCACCTTCTGCCACCATGGACAAGGCCTGTGGACTTCACGCAGGGCTTCCATTTCTCCAGGGTGGAGCTAACCAACCACTCTGCCCTCTGAGCTCACACTCGAAGCCAATCTTTTACAACCTACTTTCAGCAGTGACTCTTCTCAGCTAGAAGCTGGATTTAAGCCAAATACAACCCAGGCTGAAAAGTCAGCGCTCCACAGACTCAGGTGGGCAGCTGGCCTCTCTGAGGCTGTCCAGACCGAGGGACACCGTAGCTAGCTCACCGAGCTGCTGCCCAGATACCTCCTCACACTCCCAGCAAGACCGACTCCTTGCGGGCAGGAACTTGATCTAATGCATCTTTCTATCTCTAGCATCAGACAGAGGATTAAATGAACATCTGCTTAATGAATGGATCTCTAAAATCAAAGCAGTGCGTGCCTAATTAGGTGGTTCCCACAGGGTTGGCCAAAGGCTGATGAGGACTGGAAAGCCAATGACACCACACAGGGACAAAATCCAGTCTGGCCTTGAGAAAACCGAGATGGGACAACCCAGCTTCTTACAGACAGGAATGCGCCTTGGGGTCTGCATGCAGTGGGGCCGGGGCACTGGGGACCACCAACTCGCTGGCCCTGCCCAGCACGCAACGAGCAGCAGAGTCCGCACAGGAGGGGGTGCAGCTGTCAGGCTGAGCCCAGCGGGGTCCCCTACTGTACGCAGCTCCAGCTCGGGCTTTGAGGCTGGTGGCTGGACCACAAGGATACAGGAGAGCTGACCGCACCCAGGCAACAATGGGCCAGACACCAGGGACTCCTCTGTAACAACAAAAACAAAGCCAGAGGAAGGCAGCTGTCTTCAACTGTTACCTCGAAGGAAAGCAAGCTCCCCTCCCCGTAAAGCCTCAGGACAGGTGTCAGAAGATCCTGCTCCGTGCACCGGTCAATGAGAAGCAATCAAAATGACCCAGGTTGGCCGGCGCCGCGACTCGTTAGGCTAATCCTCCGCCTTGCGGCGCCGGCACACCGGGTTCTAGTCCCGGTTGCCCCTCTTCCAGGCCAGCTCTCTGCTGTGGCCAGGGAGTGCAGTGGAGGATGGCGCAAGTACTTGGGCCCTGCACCCCATGGGAGACCAGGAGAAGCACCTGGCTCCTGCCTTCGGATCAGCGCGGTGCGCCGGCCACAGCGTGCCGGCCGCGGCGGCCATTGGAGGGTGAACCAACGACAAAGGAAGACCTTTCTCTCTGTCTCTCTCTCTCTCTCACTGTCCACTCTGCCTGTCAAAAAAAAAAAAAAAAAAAAAAAAAAAAAAAAAAAAAGACCCAGGTTAACTTCTGTCAAGAGGGGCCGAGCCAGGGAAAAAACAAGCCTGGGATGGCCCTCCCTGGCGTCTGGGGCAGCTTCCTGTCCACATCGGACAACGGACGGCCCAGATCCCCCGAGCAGAGCTGTCAGAACAGAAACCACCACGTGAGGACGCCCACGGCGCCTGTTACCACCATCTTCCCTGCCAGGGCATCTGAGTGGGACTGAGCGACGACCCACTCAGCACCCACGGGACCAATTCTGATTTCTACAACAGCGGACACCACAAACTCCAACGGGGCAGGCTTCAGACCCAGAGCTGGGCGGCCGCCATCGGGAAGCGAGCAGGGGCAGTGGTCACGCAGGAAGGGGCCGGGCCCAGCAGCTGCATGGAGGAGACGATCGCATCGCAAGTGGCACCGCTCTCTGAGCAGGAGCTGCCTGCGGTGCCGGAAGCCGGGACCCAAGAAATCCGCCCATCGACTGGGAAAAAAATCCATTTCAAACAGCACTGGGCCACAGCCTGAGCGGACAGCCGTTCCGCTTCCACGCACACGGCACCAGGCAGCCGTTCCCACGCGTTCAAGCCTTGCTAAGCGTGACCTGCGCTGATCACCACCCCGCCCGGCCCGGCCCGGCAGCCCGGTGCCAGCCGCGAACGCGGTGTGCGACCACACGGCTCGGCCACGGGGGAGCCCACGGCCGCGGGTGGGCCTGGGCCGGGGAACCTGAGCCTTGGGAGCCCGAGGCGGATGTTCTAGACTATTCGCTGACAGGTACGAACGCGAGTTATCTCAAAAGCCCGTCGTGGGGGGGGGAGGGCACCGTGCAACACTCCCTGCGCCCCCAAACCGCTTGCAAGCTGCGACCAGAAACCGGGGCGAGCCCCGGGGGTCTCTGAGGAGAACCCGCGCCGGGCCGGGGCGGCCGGCGCCGACCCCGCGACCCCGCGACCCTCGCTCCGCGGCCGCCCCCCGTCGGCCGCAGGCTCCACGCGGGTGGGGACGACGCGCCCGAGCCGCAGGGCGTGTGTGTGTGTGTGCGTGAGGGGGGCCGCGGGAACGCCCGAGCGCCGAGGTCCCCGCCCGCCACGCCGCGGGCAGCCCGCACCCACCGCAGCGCGGCGCGGCGCGGCGGGGCGGGGCGCCGGGGAATCGCCTCCTTCCGGGCGGCGCGGCCACCCCTCCCCCGGGCCCCGCGCTTCGCCGCCGGTCCCTGCGGCCCTGGGTGGGGGTCCTCGGGACCCCTGCACCCCCGCGCTCCGCAGCCCCCTCCCTCCCCGCCGGCCCAGCCGGGTCCAGCCGCAGCCGGAACCCCGGGGGGAGCTCGGGCCCGCCGAGTACGCGCCGGCCCGGCCCCGGCGGGGGCGGGCGCGGGGGAACGGTTGGGGGAAGGGGCCCCGGGGGACGGCCACGCGCCACTCACGCGTCGAACTTGTTGTTCATCCTCTCGCCGCCGCTGTCGCCACTGCCTCACCGAGTGACTTCCGCTCTGCCGGGTCCCTCCGTCTTGGGCCCGGCCACTTCCGGTCGTGCGGGGCGCCGCGGAACGTCGGCGCGTAGGTCCTGTTGGGGGCGGCTATCCGGGGACGCCAGCCCAGGGCGGCTGCGCGGCGGCGGCGGCGGCGGCGGCGGCGGCGGCGGCGGCGGCGGCGGCGGCGGCGGCGGCGGCTGCCTGCCTGCCTTGGCTTTTCGCGTCGGCCACCCGTCCGCCTCCCCGGAGGAGTGCGTCCCGGCCTGTGCCCGCCGCGGACTGCGGAGTCCTTGCCCGGTCGGAAGCCCGGCGGCGGCCGCTCGGACCCTGACCGCCCGTGCGCCGTCGTGCGCGCTCCTGCAGGTGGCCGTGAGCCCCAGGAGCCTGCTATAAAAGGCGGCTAGTGTGCGCCTCTGCTTACGGCGTCCGGCTGTGTGAGGGCGCAGAAGGGTTAAAGCAGGGCCCCGGTTCTCAGAAGGGGAGGCTGAGTGAGACCTGTGCTCGCGCAAGAACCGCCGGGTGCTTCCAGAGCTCGGTGCTCCGGCTAGCTGTCGGAGCCAGGTCCCCTTCGCCGCAGCCCGACCACCGCCGATGGCGCGTGCAGCTGCGGCTCACCCGGCCCAGCCCGCCGGGCAAAGCTGGCAAGGGGTGTGCAGGACCTGAGATGCACCTGCTGGTACCGTGGCTGGGAGCCGTGCAGACGCCCTGGCCCTAGAGAAGAGAGGGAAGAAGCCATAGAAGCTGCGTGTCTGAGCTTGGGCCAAAGTGGGGCGTCCGGGGCTGCGAACCTTGTTTAACCGCCAGTGTTCTGGGGGTTTGTCCCATGTGGATCATGAAGGTAGGGACTCTTGTCTGTGCACAACACTGGGAGGAGCTTTTAAGATTTCAGATGAATGAATGAATGAATGCATATTGTTTAGAAACCCTCCAGGATCTTGTGTGAGTGCGGGGGAGTGTTGGGAGCTTATTGGGTGCAGTGGGCAGGAGAGGGAGGTGCCAGCTGACATGGTGGCGGCCCTCTTTACAGGCATTGGCTGTGCATCGTCACACCCTGGACTGCGCTTCTCCAGGGAGAACTTGGGACGGGGAGGCCAGCCTGCAGGGCCAGGGCCTTGTCCAGTTAGGGGATCGGATGAAGCAGAGCCCTTATGGCTTTGGGACGATGGGAGTTGTTGATGCTTTGTTGAAGTGAGACAAGGGCACCAGGTGGAGGAGTGCTTCGTGCTCGCCTGAGCCGCCAGGGCCGGTGGGTGCCCACCCCAGCAGTGCGCCCTGGCTTCCCCCATCCCCAACCACTCCACGATGGAACGCTGCCGTTTTATTTCCCCCTCTTTCCAGAGCTATTTGGCTCCCGCGGCTCTGGAGGGCACTTCCCAAAGGGTGCACTTGTGACAGCGGCGGCAACGGCACAGCACAGCTGCCGACTCAGAGGGCCCCACGTGTGCGACTCCCCCGTGCCCAGCAGCGCGTGGGTGGCTCAGTCTGGCGAGGGCAGGTAGGGGCGGGGGTCTCCAGGGAAAGGCAGCTCGGGCACCCGGTTGTAGTGGGCCATGAGGAAGATGCCACTGGTGCCGCAGACGAAGAGGGAGAGCATGGCCAGGAAGCAGACGCGGTCCAGCACGCGGCCCACCAGGAACCACTCCTCACTCCCCTACAGGTGGGACAGGGTGGGATGATCTGTGGGGGCTCAGGCCGGCCCTGCACCCCCTACCATCCTTGGGCTCATTTCCTTGGGCCTCCTCACCTCTGTCCAGGCCCCAACCTGGCCTCTGCCAAGGTCCCCTGGCCCCAAGGTCACTTCCCACCCCTGTCCCCAGGTTCACTCTTCCACCTCCCCTACAGCTACCCTCCCTCCATCTGAGGTGCAAGCCCGGGTACTCTCCCATCCCACTCCATCCCGCCCCAGTCCGTCTTACACTGTCAAAGTGACTCTGCTGGTGCTGGGCCCGGGCGATGAGGTTGCAGGCCTCCACGCAGGCCTGGATGGCCGGGGCTGCCTGCTTCAGGCTGCCGCACAGCTCCTGGCTCTGCCCTGGCCCTGGGCCTTTCTCTGATGGGGAGGGAGGGCAGGATTTGGGGGTTAAGTGGGGAGGAAACAGGCAGAGAAGGTTGCTCCTCTCTCTCTCTCCCTCCCTCCCTCCCTCTCTCTCTCTGTGACTGGACATTTGCCCGGCACTCCTCTGTTGCATCCCCGGTGTCACAGCCCCGGGCCTACCTAGCTTCTCCAGTGCTGCCCTCACCAGCCCGTTGCGCTGCCGCTGCCGGAAGAGGAGCTCAGTGCGAGGCAGGCAGAGGGCCACCTCCTCCCCAGCTGTGAGCGACCACCCCGAGGAAGAGCCGTTCTGTAGCCGGGGCCGGGCGTCCTGCCTGGCCGCTGGGGCCGGGGGCCGGACGTGCATCCTCAGCAGCTGGGGCAGGAGCCGCAGGAACACCTGCAGAGGGGTTGCTCTGGGCAGCCAGGCCGAGCCCCGAGCTGCCGCTGGGCATGAACGCCTCCTGCTGCCCGTGACGCAGCACAGCGGGGGACCTGCCGGCTCTGCCACGGCCTGGGTCCCCAAACTTCTGTGTACATCACAATCACCGGGTTGCTTGTTGCAGATTCCTATCTGCCTCCCCCCCCCCCCCATTCTGACTCAGGACAGCCTGGGGTGGGCCTGGGACCCTGCATTTGCACCCAGGGCCCCAGCCGTCTGTGGCAGGTGCAATGCAGGTCGCACAGATCCTGGAGTCAGACCACTCGGGCACCGTCTTGCCTCCTCCGCTTTCTGGCAGCGCGTGACCCCGGGCAAGCTACTTCACTGCTCTGTGCCTCAGTTTCCCTGCCTGTTGAATAGAGCTGATGGTACTATTCTCTTAGTAGGGGCTTTATGAAGATTAAGTGAGTGAAATACGGCACGCCTCCGGCACTCGGTGAGCACTCGGTGAGCACTCGGTGTCACTTTCCATGCACTCTGGCACAAGCTTCCGGATAATGCAGGGTAATGCTGAATCTAGCAGGAGAGGAACGGCCAGGGCCGGGGTGCAGAGAGAGGCACATGTGAGTGGACTGGGGGGGATGCCGGGCCAGGCAGGGAGGGGCCTTGCCTTTCGGACCCCTCGGGCCATGGAGTGCGTGTGTGGGGAACGCAAGGACACGTTGAGCACGACCACGGCGTTCACCACGATGAGGATGGTCACCACCAGCAGGAAGGTCAGGTACCTGTCGGGAGGGGTAGGCAGGAGGCTGGGGCCGCCTGTAGGCACCGCCTAGCCAGCTCCCCTCGAGGCTGCCCGGATGCCAGGAGAGCCATGCCAGGAGGTGGGCGGGCAGGCGTGGGACCGGCCTTACTTGCTGATGAGCGGCACTGCCTGGGAGGTCTCGGGCACCTTCTTGGCCACAAGGAAGAGGAAGACAGTCTGGGCCAGGAGCACGTTGATGGCGACGGTGCACTTCTGGCCGCCCGCTGCCCAGGACCGAGAGGCCCTCAGAGTGGATCCCCACCTCCCTGCCCCCAGAGGAACCCCCTCGCCCCACTGGGAGCCCACTGCCCTTGGTCCTGGGTCAGGCTGCCCTGTGCCCTGGCCAGAGCCAGGGCTCCCCTTCCCCGGGCTCTGGGTACCCTTGGCAGGCAGAAAGTAGATGAGGATGGCGACGGAGGAGATGAGCACACAGGGGGCAATGATGTTGATGACGTAGAAGAGGGGCTTGCGCTGGATCAGCAGGTAGAACACCACCTTCTGGGGGCCCGCCTCCTCGTCCGCTGCCGCTGCCGGGTCCAGCAGCATCTTGGCAGGCCGGTGCCGGATGGCCCACTCCCCGTTCTCTGCAGGCGTGAGCACAGGGAGTGTGGCCCAGGCAGCCCGAGAGAGCCAGGAAACCCGGCAAAGGAGGACAGCATCGGGGGACAGAAATGGAGTGGAAGATGGCACAGTTGAGCCCTCTCCCTCCAAGATTTGGGCGATTATCGTGGGGGAATTGAACTTTTTGAAAGACGTCGCTACCGCCAGGTACAGCAGGAGCTGGGGAAGAGGCTGCTCGCGGTGCCGCTGGGGTCGGGCGTTACCTGTGAAGGCCTCGGGGTCGATGAAAATCCACTCAACGGTTTGACCGTCTTCCTGACTCAGCTGCAAGTTGATCTCACTGGTGCTGTAGGTCTGGGACCTGGGGCACAGAGGGCAGGAGGCTAGACCCGCCCACAAGTTCACGATCATCTGCAGTTTGGCTTAAAAAATGAAATGCAGCCCCTCCACCAAACTCTGGTGGTGGGATGTGGGGGGCAAGGATCCGGGGGCCCTGGCTCCTCCCAGCGGTAGCTATGTGTGCGCAGGCATGCACGCTGGGTGCACGGCTTTGCCTTCTTGCTCACCACTACCGCTGGGGCACAGGAAGGGACACTGAGGCAGGGAGGAGGGTGAGTGAGCAGGCTGGGTGCAGCAGGGCGGGACTGGGGTGCCTTCAGGTGTGTGGCCTGAGATGGGCCGAGGCCCCCAGAGGTGGAGCCTGGCCCAGGCCTCTAGGTGGCGCTAGAGCTGAAGCCAGAAGCCCAGTGTCCCCCGCCCCTGCCCAGGCCCAGCGTAGAAGGGCTCCCCAGAAATGGCCTCACTGGAAGACGAGGGAGCAGTTCTGCCAGTCGAAGGGGAAGTAGGTGACAGAGATGGCACAGGAGGAGCGGAAGATGGCGGGTGGCAGCCAGTAGATGCAGCCGTTGGGGGACACGAGCACGTTGCAGTAGAGGGCCACCTCGAAGACGCCGTCCACACTGTGCGCAGGCCGGGCAGCAGGGCTGTGGGCTCAGACCCCGCAGTCCCAGAGCAGCCCCTGCCTCGTGGGGACACCCTGCAGCCTGCCACGCCCTTGACTGGTTCCCACCCCAGTCTCCCTGCCGCCTCCACTGGGCCGCCTCCCTCCCTCCAAGTCTCGTTACTAATAATTAAGACAATCAGCTCTCCCAATGTGCCAGGCCCTGAGCGAAATACCTCCAGCCCACCCAGGCAGCCCAGGCCAGATGGGACAGAGCGAGGTGTAGACCAAGGCCTGGGGGCCCTGGAGACAGAGCCCACCCCTGGGGCCCTGTCTTCAGCATCTGCCAGTCTAGTCTTCCCCCCCACACCTGGCAGGGCACCCGGCCTGCACCTCCCACTTGCCTGCCTCTTTCCCCAGAGCCTCTTGGCTCTGCTGGACCGTGCCGCCGGTGTCCTTGTCACCCACCCCTGCCCGCGCCCCTCACTTGTTCTCCAGCACGATGTCCGGCCTCCACACCATGGTGGACGGCACCCGCAGCACCCACAGGCCTTCGTAGTCTTGCGGGTCCCAGCGCAGGCGGTAGTCGCACCACTGCTGCGGGGGGGGGCGGGGACGGCAGTCGCCCGGGGGTGAAGGCTCACCCAGGGGCGGGGGAGGGGCAGGCAGCTCTTGGGAGCCCCACTGGGGGCCCTGAGAGCCGGGCAGGCGGGCGGCAGGTGCCTCTTACCATCTCTATCCAGACGTTGGTGGTGAGTGCCTCCTCGCGCTCGTTCTGAGGTGACAGAATGGAGGACTAAGCCCCCCAGGCCTCCCCCCACCCAGTGCAGGAGGCAGCCCCCTCCCTTCCTGCGGCTCACCAAGGAGATGAGGTTGGTGAGGGTGAGCTTCAGGCTCACGTTCACCACGTCGGAGTCGTGCTCGGCCGGCCGCAGGTGGGGGTCGTAGTCGCGCATCAGGTCCGCCAGCAGCCGCTCCTCCTGGTTCCGGCCCAGGGTCGCTGCAAGGCACAGCTGTGAGTCAGGGGACACTTGGACCTGGGGCAAGGCCAGGCCCCTGTGGTCTTCCAGACCCCACACCCCCCTGCGGCCTCGGAGCCCTGCCCTGGGCCTCGGCGGGCCCTGGTTCCCAGTGTCGCACCCAGGCAGCTGGCCAGCAGCAACAGGAAGAGCAGTGGCGCCCGGTGCCGACGCATGGTGCCTGGACTCTGTGCAGTGACAGGGCTGGGTGGCACCTCCCCAGGCCCAGGGCAGAGGGAGATGGGCTTTGGGTGTCACGTGATAGCCCACACTCCCACCCCGCAGCCTGGCCAGCCCCAGCAGCTGTCTGGCCGCAGCATTGTCAGCTGTTCCATGCTGGGTTCAATGTGGGGCTCAGGTTACCCGGGCCAGGCAGGGGAGAGGGGCCCCGTCCGCCCCCACGGAGATGGCCCACCCTGCAGACTCAGTGGGCATGACCCTCCGCCTGTGTTCCAGAGGGCTCAGACACGGCCAAGGACTCATGGGCGTGGCGAGAAGGCAGCCGCCCGGGAAGGCCCTGACCAAGGCGCTGCTGCTCCCCCTGGGAACCAGGACATGGGAGGTGAAGGCTGCTGGGAGGCGTGGGTCACGTATGAGTCTCTGTGACATCCACACGGTCACGGTCACGGGCCTTGTACCTGGATGCAAATTAGGGGGCCCTGAGCCGGGAACACGGCCCCAGAAAGCTCTGGGGTAAGGAGGGCTCCCTGAGAAGGACCTGGAACCTGGGGCTCTGAGGGAGCCACCGTATTTGTTAAATCATCTAACAGACCGCGAAGCCGCTTGTGGCCGACACGGTCCGAAACCGGGGGTGAGGGCACCCGGGGGTGAGCCCGGGCTCCTCGTGGGAAGTCCCCAGAGAGACAGGCAGGGGAGGGGGCTGAAGGGAAGCCAGGGCCAGGGCAAAGAGCTCCCTGCACTTTGTGGTGGGAGCCGGGGTCTTGCTGCCGGCTGTGGCCTGGCCCAGGCTGCCTGCCTTCGACCCAAGCAGAGTTAGTGGGCGTCAGCACATGGGTGCCCGTGAGTGCCTCCCACACCTGGTGGACAGGGCAACAGGGCCTCTGAGGGCTCCGAGAACCCTCCCCCCACAAGGCCCCACCCCTCCCCCAGCGGATGTCTGTGGCGTGCCTCTGGGCCCGCGTCAGCCAGCTGAAGTCAGCGAGAAGCCCTGCCCTCACAGACCCAAGGGTGGTTGGCTGAGAACCAGCAGTGGGGCCTCCAGCCCCTGCTCTCCTGGCCAGGACCCCCGGAGCATGCAGATGGGGGCGGGAGCAGGGGCACCTGCTCCCCCAGGCACCGCCCACTGAGTTCAATCGCTGGGGGTGGGGGCCATTTGTCTACCAGCCTTTTGTTCCGTCCTTTGAAGACCCCACCCCCCCAAGGGGCACTGCCCCAGGAGCACCTCCCTGTGCCCCCCTCCCCGTCCTCTCCCTCTCAGAGCCCCGGCGCAGTACCCCCACCCTGGGCGGAGCAGGATCTCACGGCCTCTCCACTGCCCTCCAAGCCCACACTTTGCCGAAAGAGACGAAATGCCCCCCGGGACGGGCAGCGGTGCTGGGGAGGGGCCCAGGCTCAGGCAGAGGACCCCGGGCTGTGTCTGTCCTTCTCCTCCCGCACAACTGGGAGGGACAAGGAAGCTCCTGGAGACCGACCTTCCCTCCCCTGCACTCTGTGACAAGTGGAGCTCCCATTCTCCCTGCGTCCCTGCGGCCTGAGAAGCATCCTGGTGTTGTCAGGAGGGCCAGGCGCCTGGAGGAGCAGCCGCTTCCTGGAGGGTCGAGTGCTGAGTGCCAAGAGGGGACCCGGGAGATCTGTAGAGGTCACTCATTGTCTCACAGCAACGCCTGTTTTGCCAGCTGTGGTTGTAGACGCTGGAAAAGCTGGGCCCGCACTTCCCAGGCTCCCTGGCTGGTGGGGAGCGGGCGAGGGGATGTGGTGCTTTGACCACAGGCTCCTCTTGGCCCTGAGCTGAGCCGGTGAGACCAGCCCGGCCTCATGATTCCTACCAGGCGAGAAAAAGGAAACCTTGTTTGTTGAAGCCATGGTTTCTTGGGTTTGCTGTTCCTTGCAGCTCAGTGCATTCCTGAGTTCATTGAAAGAAAGAGGGTCACCCTGCTGGCTGGGAGAGGGTGTAGGGCCACCCATGACTTCCCAGGATCCCATCCTGGTGGGCGTGACTTCCTGAGTGGTCCTGGGGGAGGGGGAGCGGGAGCCGCTGCAGCCGGAGGCACCTCTGGCTGGGTGCGGCATTTGGGGTTTGCCTTTTCTAGCAGGCCCACAGCCTCCAGAGCAGGGCCTGGCAGTCGTTCTAGAACTGCCGGCAACAGCGCCGCCGTGTGGCACAGACAAGCAGGCGGCCCTGGGTTCAGGCCCTCACCCACCCAGGCCTTTGCTCCTGGCTTCAGGGGACGGATGGCAGGGGAGCCAGACTTCCTGCTTCTCCGAGATGGGGGAGTCCACCCAGGCCTCCCTATTCCAAGGGGGGACCCCGAGATTTGTGCCTGGAAGCTGAGGACAGGCCCTATAGGGAGACAGAAGTAGTGAGGATCAGTTTGGGCTTTTAATGGTTTTCTTAATCTCAACCTTGGTGTATTGGAGCTAAGGAGGTCACCGATTCCCGGTAGGGACCTTGAGCCCTGGGCCTGTGGCCTCGTGTCCGGCCTCTCTCAGTCACCAAGCCAGGCCTGGGCACAGGAGACGGGGCACAGGCCCCCCGCGGGGAGCCCGAGACCCAGCTTCCCCGATCCAGGCACACGGATGAGGAGGGGCTTAACAGCCCCCTCCATTGCAGGACGCCTGCAAACACCTTTCTTTCACAGCACGTGGGGCTTTCCACATACGCAGAGCAGAAAACAGAAGCCAGCAGACGAGAGGCGGCTGGCCGGGGCCACGCAGCTGGTGCCAGAAATCCCCCAGCACTCGCTCGCTTAAAGCCACAAGTATTTATTAGCTCACACCAGGCATCCAGGATAGCACCCCTGCTGGTTCCGGCTCAGGGACTTGCATGTGGCCGTGGGCAATGAGATCGTCGGAAGGCTCCTTTGGGCTGGATGAGGCGGGGTCGGTCCACTGCCAAGTCCATGCAGGTGGCTTCCAGCAGGAAGTATGTCCCCAATACTGCATGGCGGTCCTACTTTGGGGGGGGTGTAGGCGCTCGGGCTGGGGGATGCTGAGTTTCCGTGCCATGGGTTATGCAGGTGACCTAGGGGATGCTGAGCCGGGGGGGAGGGGTAGTGGTCAAGGCAGCAAGGGAGGGGCCTGGGGTTGAGTGTGGGTGGGAGGGGTGTAGCTGGGAGAGGCAGGCTCCGCCCCCTCTGTCAGCATCTGGGGCACGAGAGGCTCTGCCTGTCTGATGGACACGAGGCCAGCTTGAGCAGTCTCCTGCCTCTCCCCGGCTGGCCCTGGCTGTCCCCTCCAGCTGATGTCCACTCCCGGCCGGCCCCGCCCCCTCCAGCACCTGCCCTGATTGCCGAAGGAACCGCTCCCTGCCTTGATCTCAGCCCAGCCTCGAGGCACCAACTTGGGGCCCTGCAGCCGCCTTCCTGGGAGAGCCGCTCCCCGCTCAGACCCCACCCCCAGGCCTAGATGAAGCGCTTGTCCCGCACGTTGTAGGAGAAGGGGTCCCCTGGGAAAGGCTGCTGTGGGGGCTGGTTGTACGCGCCCTGCAGAAAGATCCAGGCTGTGCCCACCACCATGACAGGCGTCACCAAGAACAGGCAGAGGCGGTCCACCGTGCGGGCCACCCGGTTCCAGCTGTCCTTCTCCTGGGGACGGGACCAGGCAGAGACGGGGTGTGGGCAGGGCCTCGGGCTGCAGCCCCCACCCAAGCCAGGGCCCAGAGATGGAGACAGAGGTCTGGTCTCAGCGTGCCTGTGGGGCTGCCCCAGTCTGGCGTGTCCCCAGCAGGGAACCAGGCTGGTCACTTCTGTCGAAGAGGCAGACAGCCAGGCCGCAGCCACCTTCCTCGCTTTCCTGCAGGGCTCTCGGGGGCTGGTGGGGCCCTGCAGGGCCCTGCGAGAGGTGGACTGGCCTGGCTCCCTCTCTCACTCCTCCCAGCTGCTGCTAGCCCACATGGGAACCGGAAAAAACCACTGCTTTCCCAAGAGAGAATTTTTAGAAGTTGCATCATAGCTGACAACCATATAAATGGAGAAGTCCAGCAGGAACCAAAAATGATTGGCAGCTGGGAGAAAGGACGGCCCCTAGGGGACGCCCAGAGAGTCGCCTCGGCAGGCTGGGGGCGGGCATGTTGCTTGTGTGTCCCCCCAGGGTGTGGCTGGCCCACAGTGCTGCTATGGGGGTCTAGGCAGGAGTGCTCGCTCCCTTGGGGGCCCGCATTTGAGGGGAACTGTGCCCCTGGAAGACAGGACACACTTGGTCAGTGCGCTACTGGAACACCTGTACATGGCAACCCTGCAGCCACTCACTTCATTGTAATTGTTCTGGTCCTTCATATGGTTGACAATGAAGTTTGCCCCGTCCACGGCAGGCTTCAGCTCACTGAGGAGTTCCTGCTGGGCCTGCTCAGAGCTTGCGGGGGGCCGGCCTTTGAACACAGGGGCAGAGGGGATCTGAGGGCCGCCACCACGCACCTCCCACGGATGGGCCCCGGCCCAAACCCCAGGTGCCCGAGGACCTACGTGCAGTGGTGAGGCGCCGGGCCAGCCCGTGCCGCTCTGACTGCTTCTCGAACATGAGGTCGCTGCGGGACTTGAGCGAGAAGTACTCCTCGGCCTTGGAAATGTAGCCCAGAGAGCTGCTCCTGCGGATTAGCGTCCTGGGGCCGGGCGCGTCCTCCGCGGGGCGGGACATGTGCAGCAGCTCCGGCAGAGTCTCCAGGAAGAGCTGCAGCGGGGACATGGGGACACAGGACGAACACGGGGTGGCCTTCCCCCACCTGACGGCTGTGACCCCAGGTCTGTCGCAGAGCGCCCTCTGCAGGCTGACCCTGTCATTCACTCCTCTGGTCTCGGGTCGTCTCGAACGCTCCGTGGTTGCTCCCAGCACAGAGCAGAACTCACTCATGGAAAACAGAGGTTCCCGGCGGGTGCTGTGGCGCAGCGGGTTAAGCTCCCGTTTGTGACACCCACTGCCCGCGTCGGAGCACCGGGTCAAGCCCTGGCGGTTCTGCCTCTGCTCCAACTCCCTGCTACTGCCCCCGGGGAGGCCTAAGTGCTTGGGCCCCTGCACCTGTGTGGGCTGGTTTCAGCCTGGCCCAACCCTGGCTGTTGTGGGCATCTGGGGAGTGAACCAGTGGATGGAAGACTCTCTCTCTCTCTCTCTCTCTCTCTCTCTGTCTTTCAAATTCATTAATTAACTAATTTAAAATCTTGTTATTCCCGATGGTTCCTTAGGGTCCCTGGAGGCTGCCACCACCCCAGCTTCAGTCACCAGAGGCTGGTTTGACCTCCACAGAGAGAAAAGCCCGCGGTCTGTTCTGTGTCGGGTGACACCACGCGGGGCGTGTGGCAGCGGCTGGGGACACGGGTGCCCCGATCCCCAGGGTCTCCACTCCTTCTTCCGAGATGGCCTTGCACAACTCCCGGCTTCGGGCCATGGGGGGGGCACTCACCTTCTTGACCCCCTCGGACAGCACGTGGGTGCTGGGCGTCCGAAAGTGGATGTTGAGCACGATGACACAAATGACCACGACCATGGCGACCAGCACCATGCCGAAGAGCAGGAACCTGGGGGACCACGTGCGGCATGGGGCCCCCAGCTAGCCGGGCGTGAGGCCTCCTCCCTTCCCCCCACCCCCCACCATCACCACGTGGAGGCCACTCACTTGCCAATCAGGGGGATGGCCATGGACGTGGCCGGCAGCCGCTTGGAAATGAGCAGCAGGAAGACAGACTGGGCCAGGAGCACCGAGATGGCCATGGACGTCTTCTCACCGCCTGGGGAAGCCAGAGGGGCTGGGGGTCTCCAAGAAGCCACGGTGCCTTGGTGGGAGCCCGGGGCTCCGGAGATGCAGAGCCGGGGCTCAAATCCTAGCTCTGCCACTGACTAGCTGAGCCGACCTTGGGCTCTCTGTGTTTGAGCTTTCTCAACTGTTGGGTGCTGCCGAGGGGAGTGTGTGTTAAATGCACGTCCCTCTGCCTAGCACTGGTGGAGGGCTCCGCAGACACCAGCTGTCGGCGTTCACCCACCTTCCGAGGATCCACGCATGTCACTGCCCTGCTCGGCCAGCTCCAGGGTGGACTCGCAGCACAGGCTGACCTGAAGGTTCCATCCCTTCACGCAAAGACCCCAGCCCGGCGCGGCCCCGCCCTTTCCCGCCTGAGCTCCTGCAGGCGCTGGCCCTGGGCCCCTCGGCCTCTGCTTGTCCCCCTAATCCACCCTCATTTCACACAGCTCCCCGCACCCTCAGCTTCCTCCAGGACCCGCTCCCAGCCCACCATGGCTGGAACGACCTCTACCACCCTCATCCAGGCCTGTGGTTGTGCCAGGGCACCAGCTGGGTGGCCTTTGTCACTGTCGCCGGCTCACAGGAAATATTCTGAAACTGTAAAATGGCTCCTTCCTGGAGTCACGGGAACTTGATTTGTTGCTGCCCACACCCCAGCTTCCTAGAAACCCTGGTGTCTACTCACTGGGTCACCTGTTAATGGCCTCCCATGAGCCAGGCCCGTGACCACATGGCTGGGACAGGACAGACCTTGTCCCTGCCCTGACACAGGGGACAGTCTAACGGTTGTCCCTGGGCGCCCTGGGAAGGCCACTGTCAGAGGCAGAAGTAGCATCCAGAGGGTCCCAGGATGCCAGACAGGAGCCTGGAGCCCGCCCCCGGCTGCCCACCCAGCTCTCAGCCCTCCCCCGGCAGCAGGGGCGGGGCCTGAGCTCACTGTCGGCCGGCAGGTAGAAGACCAGGTTGATCATGAAGGAGATGAGCACACAGGGCACCAGGATGTTGATGACGTAGAAGAGGGGCTTGCGGCGGATGATGAGGTAGAAGGTGACGTCCTGGCGGCTGGGGCTGTCCAGCGGGGCGCTGGGGTCCACGTTGACCCTGGCCGGCCGGTGCACTATCTCCCACTCCCCATTCTCTAAGGGAGGCAGATGGACAGGGGCCTGTTGGGGATGTGGGGGGCTTCGGGGTGGGATGACCGAGAGCCAGACCAGGGGCCTGCGTGAGTGCAAATGTTAACGGGCCAGGGGTAGCTGTCCTGTGCGGCTCAGTTCTGTCTCTCCTCCTCGGATGAACTAGAAGGGGCGCCCATTCAGGTTCAGCCACGGAGGGTGCCTTGGCTTCCAATGTATCACAAGCCAAAACCAGGTACGTGCAGATGCATGGGACAAGGTCTGGTTGTCTGCAGGCCACACCTCCTGGGCCTGGGTCTTGGTCAGGGGATCATCCTACCCCCAAGATGTCCCAGCCTGCTGACCAGTGGGATGTGGTTCCTTCTGGCACCCATGGGCCCCAGGGAAGGTCTGAGCTGGTCAGACAGGGCAGGGGATGGCAACCCAGCCCATACCCAACCCGGGTGCTCCAGGAGCAGAAAGACCAACTTCCCTAAGCTACGCCCCTTCCTGGGGACTCCTGCTTGCACCCAGAGTATCTTCCAGGGTGCTCTGCATGTCTCCGTGTCTGTGCAGGGGCAGGGTCACAGGTGTGGATGTGTGCAGTGTACAGACCTGGAGCGGGGGTGGGGGGGCGGTGCCCTGGGATGACCTGTGTGTCCCTGACCCTGTCTGAGGGGCCGCTCTGAGCACCTGTGACCTGCGTGTCTCCATGTCTGTGCAGGGGCAGGGTCACAGGTGCAGGCGTGTGCAGTGTGCAGGCCTGGAGTGGTGGTGGGGGGTGCCCTGGGACAACCTGTGTGTCCCCGATCCTGTCCACGGGGACACTCTGAGCACCTGTGAAGCCCTCGGGGTCAATGATGATCCACTCCACGGGGTAGGCACGGCCATCTTCTTCCTCCTGCTTCAGGTTCAGGGTGATCTCCTTGGCCGTGTACTTGAGAGAACTGGGGGGGAGGCAGTAGTGGGCAGAGGGTGACTTTGAGCCACTGGCTAATCAAGCAAGACCACTGTGGGACCAGGTACCCAGTGGAGGGCACCTCCATCCACCCCCGTGGATGCCCGGGTCAGGGGTGGGGTGGGGGACGAGCAGGAGGAGTGGCTGCACCTGAACTTGAGGGAGCAGTTCTGCCAGTCGAAGGGGAAGTAGGTGACGGAGATGGGGCAGGAGGAGCGGAAGATGGCGGGCGGCAGCCAGTACACGAAGCCGGAGTCATAGACCAGCACGTTGCAGGAGTAGGAGATCTGGAAGGAGCCGTCGTTGCTGGAGACAGACGCGAGATCACGGTCAGCCCCGGCCAGCTCGGCCCGCTCGGGGGAGGCAGAGGAGGGAGGGCAGGCAGGGGCTGGGGGTGGGGGAGGAGGCCGGGGAGGTTGGGCTCAACTTGTTCTCCAGCACGATCTCGGGAAGCCACACCATGTCGGGGGGCAGGCGAAGAACGCTGATGTTCCCAAATTCCGCGGGGTCCCACTGCAGCCGGCTGTCTGTCCAGCCCTGGGGGCCCAGAAGCCCAGTCAGAAGGGGCTCCCTGCTCCTCCCCCAAGCTCTGAGTGGGGCACCCGCTTACATGCTCTATCCACACGTTGGTGGTGAGGGTCTCCTCCACTTCTTTCTGCAATCACAGGAGGGCAGTCCCTCAGGGCTGTGCACCCCATGTCCACCAGGCACCTACTCCTGGATGGCACCCAGGGGACACCGTGGCCTCTGGGCCAGCCAGCCTCCTGCCCCAAGTGCTCGCAGCCAGGAGTGTGTGGCAAGAGCCAATGGCTTCTGACAAGGGCCTCAGTGTAGCAGGCTGGGGTCGTGGGTAGGGTGCAGGTGCACCCCAGAGCTGCAGCTGGCGGGGGTACGGTTCCCAGGGAGGGGAGCTACCGTGGGCTTTGCGCTTCCTCTGTGGCCAGCCCAGCCCCAGAGGGGCGCCTCACCAGGGAGATGAGGTTGGAGAGGGTGAGGGCCAGTGAGATGTCCACGCTGTCCTCCTTGCGTGCCACCGGCCGGAGCTCCTTGTTATAGCCCTTCTCGCTGAACAGGTGCCGGATGAGCCGCTCCTCTTCGTTCAGGCTCCAGCTGCCTGCGGGGGCCAGGGCCAGGGCCGGGCGCTAAGCAGGGGGCCCAGGATGGGAGCTGCCCTGAGGTCCTGCCGGGCCCCGGGGCTGGACGGAGCAGGGGGCCCCCAGTCGCTGCCTGGGAGTGATGGACCCTGAAGCGTGGCCCATCACAGGGAGAAACGGTGGAAGGGCGGATCCCGGGGAGAGCACCCTCCCTTACCACACACGGCCAAAGCAGCCAGCAGCCCCAGGGACAGCACTGGCGCCTCCATCCTGCCCCCTGACTGGCTCTTGGCGTCTGCCTCTCCCTCTCCAGGCTGCAGGGCTGTGGAATGAGGGTGGGCGGGAGAGGGGACAGGTGCAGGGTGGGGGTGGGGAGGCACAGGGAGGAGGCAGCCGGAAACGCAATCTGACTCCTGGAGCGGTCCCAGACTGAGACTGTGTGTGTGTGTGTGTGTGTGTGTGCGTGCGCACGGAGCGGTCTGGCGGAGACTGCGGGGGGGGGGGGGCAGCGTGGTCGGCCGTGAGTGCGGATGGCGACACACAGGCCAGCTGCTGTCCCTTCTCAGGAGGAGCCAGCTCATCTGACGGCCACCCGCTGGTTCCCAGCCCCAGAACGCGCCAGAGAAGTCAGTCTTTATTATAAATAACATTTATTACTGCACAGCTGGGAAGACACACGGGGCCCAGGACCCTTCCCGGCCCCACTGCACAGGGCCGGCTTGTCTTCGTGGTCCCCAAGCCCCTCTTGGCTCCCCGGGACAGCTGGGGTCCTCGTTGGCAGGTGGGGTCCTTGCTGGCCAGCAGGCTGGGCACCTGAGGGCTGAGTGAGGCGGCCCCTCCTCCCCAGTCCCTGGCCCTACCCGACCCCTCCCTGGGCTGCTTTGGGCCCTCTGTCTGCCAGCGCAGCTGCCCGGAAGGCCTGCAGGGCCTGCACCAGCAGCCGGGGGAGGCTGCGGGCCAGCGTGGCAGGCTCCAGGCCCACCAGGCTGCTGAAAACCACACGCCGGCCCCCCAAGCCGGCCCGCACCCAGGCTCGGAAAAGGCCGCTCAGCGTCTTGGAGCTCAGATCTGCCAGCACCTGCAGAGTGATGGGCAGGCAGTTAGGAGCCGGGAGACCCCTCCCCACCCCGCAGTGGGGGTCTAGGGGTCGTCCCTCTCTCCCACAACCCGCCCCTCACTTCCTGCTCACCTGGACGACCCGGCAGCCCCACCACTCACACTTCTCTCCCCGCTCAAGCCACCCGGGTCCCAGAGTGCACCACTTCCCTCTCTGGGGACACCCCCCCCAGACAGAGCTGGGCAGGGAGGGCCCTCCTGCTCCCACCCATCAGGGCTGGGCTCTGCCCTTTCTCCGGCTCAGGCCCCAGCCACATCAGCCTTCCCAGGCCACTTCGAAGGAGGCTGGGAGGCCGGGGGACCCACCTCGTGGAAGTTCATGGCCATGTGCTCTGAGGGAACCTGCAGGATCCAGGCGTGAGCGTCCTGGAGGGTGGCCAACTTCTGTCGCAGGGGCTCTAGCCCAGGGCAGCCTGCAGGAAGGGGAGAGGCCCCGCAGACTCACCGCCCTCTTGTACGGATAGGGAAACAGGCTCAGAAAGGCCAGCCACTCACACAGGGCGGAGCACCTGTGACACCTACGCGGGCCCAAAGCCACCAGGGTCCCCAAAGAACCAGGGCTCTACCGCGGGGAGCCGGCAGAGGGCGTCCTTACCGCTAGCCTCCCCGCGCTGCTCCGGCCTCCGCTTCGCGAACCGCGCGCCCGCAGCCCAGGATCCTGGGGGAAGCGCAGGGTTAGGGGACGGCCCGGGCGGGAGGAAGCGATCGTGCCGCGCAGGGGTGGGGCCCGGCCGGAGGGCGCGGGTACCTGAGTGCAGCCGCTGCTCGCGGGCCGGGTGCCGGGGAGGCTCCCGCAGCGACGGTGCGGGGCGAGCCAAGGTGGGGGTCAGGCGCCGCAGCCCCGGGCGCGGCCCGAGCAGCTCCTGGGCGCCCCGCAGCAGGCCCAGCAGCGTGTGCGCCAGCGAGCGCAGCTCTGCAGGCGGGACAAGGGTCCGAGCGGCTGTCAGAGGCGCGTCCAGGCCCGGCCCCGCCGCAGCCCCCGGCCCCGGCCCGGGGGAGCGCCACTTACCGCAACGACGCCTGCGCTGCAGGCACTGCTGGTGCGCCAGGCGCGCACAGGCGCCCTCGGACCCCGCGCACCGGCGGCCGTAGAAGGAGCAGACCGGAACGGCGTCTGCTCGCGGCTCCTCGGGCGGGTCCCAGGCCAAGAGCTCTCTGCAGCTGGGCTCGCGTCCGGAGGGGGCCGCTGCGGGCGGAGCAGGGGCCAGTTTTCCCCCTGTTTCGGGCCCTCGGCTCCGCAGCGCGTGCCTGGAGCGAGGCGCGCTTTCCCCAGAAGGCAACTGGGGAAGAGCGCAGGGGGCGGGCAGGGGGGACCAGGGTAGGGGGCGCTCACCGCTCATCTGCTCCTGGAGCCAGTCCTTGAACACGGCCACTCGAGTGTAGACTCCGGGCTTCCCCGGTTCCCCGCAGCCGTCCCCCCAGGAGGTGACTCCGAACAGGACCTCCCTGGGGCGGGGGCCAGGCTCCGAGCAGGTCAGGGGCCCTCCAGAGTCACCCTGCGGACGCGTTGGAGCGATGAGAAGTTGGCTGGCAGCCCCCTCCCACCCACCCCCACCCCGGAAAGAAAGGAGGCCCCTGTCCCGTGTGAGCAGCTGTCCCGAAGCCTCCCGCGGTCTAGGCGCCTACCTGGCACGAGTCGACGCCCCCCGCCAGGTAGCCGGCACAGAGCATGGTGCTGGGGCGCAGGGCCGGCCCCAGGGCCCTTCTGCAGGTGTCGGAGCTGAGCAGCGGGACTCGGGCCTCCCTCAGCGCCTCGGCCTCCGGGCCGTCTACAGGGAGGCGTGCGCTCAGGCTGGGCGGGCAGGACCCCGCCCCTAGGGTCGCCCCACTTCTGCCCTGCGGGACGCCTCGCGCTCTGCGTGGTCTGGCACAGGCCGGCTCCTCCCTCCTCCTCCCCTTCCCCCCGAAATCGCGAGGCCCCCAGGCTTTGCCCAGCCCAGTACCTTCGAAGAGGGCTCCCCAGCCCGCGATGGCGCAGGCGGTACCCGCTGGGGGCTCCCGCGGCCCCTGGGGCAGACACACAGGGCGCGCCGGCCCCGCCGGGCTCACGGGCGTCCACAGCTGCACCAGGGCCAGGTCGTTGTGGAAGGTCTGCGGGTCAAACTTGGGGGGGGGGGAGAAGCGGGGCGGTTGTGGCGCAAGGTCAACAAAGGGCGGGGAGGGGGCCCCGAGCCCCGCCCTCTCACCTTGGGGTGCGGTAAGATGCGGTTCACCGGCACCTCCTCCGCCTGCTCCCCCCGGGGACCCTCTGCCAGCGTCACCGTCCACAGGAGCTCGTTCTGGGCGCTGCGGGGCGAGCGGCGGGTGAGACGGAAGCAGCACAGGGCGCACAGAAACTCCGCGGAGGCCCTGCGCCTCCCTCCGTTCCACCGCACCGCCCAGCGGGCCTGCAAACCGGGCAGGGAGAGAGAGCCCGGGAGCGGCGCCCGTGGGCCGGAGACGGCCCCGGAAGGGTAGCGCCCAGGGCTCCGCAGGCCAGCTGGGCGGGTGCCGGCCACTGGAGACCGGGAGGCCCGCGCCGGCGGCCGCCAGGGGGCAGCAGAGACCGGCTTTGTCGCGCGTCCCGGGCGGGACGACTCAGCAAGTGCTTGGCCGGGCTCTGAGGACCCCGGCTGGGTAGGGGAGCTCGGGGTGGGGGTTCCACGTACCCTGCGAAGCAGTGCGCCGCCGTGAGCACCCAGGACGCCGCCACCAGGACGCCTCCGCACAGAGGCTGCCCGCCGAGTTGCAGCCTCACCAGCCAGGGCCAGGACCCGGGTGGCGCCGCGCTGCCCCCCACTATGCGGCCGTGAGCCCGCGTCACGTTGGCGGTGCCTGGGCGCCTCTCGCCGCACGGCCCTAGGAAGGAAGAAGCGGCGTCACGAGGGACAGGGGCCAGTTGTCTTCAGCACCGAGGCCCACCCCACTCTCGGCCTTTTCAGCCTCACCTGGTTCAGGTGGATCCTGGAGTACCGGAGCTTGCGGCCTGGGGCGCCCAGGTCCTGCTGAGAATCAGACCCCTGAGTCTCCCTGCCACCCTCTCGCCCGCCCAGCCCCCGCACACACCTGCCAGCCGTGTCTTCCCCCGCCCCCCGTCTCTGACCCTCCTCCCCCCGGAGGGGGCCGGGTCAGGAGGGAGGGGTGAGGGTGGACAGGAGTGGGCCCAGGGTAGTGAGCCAAGGTCCCTTGGGGCGGCGTGGGCAGCACAACCTGGGCACTCGTGCAGTCTGTGCTGGATCTCCATGGCCACGCGCCTCACTGCCCACTGGGCGCTCCGCTGTGCAGCCTGCAAGGCCTGGGTCCCCTGGGCCGACAGAACTGCTGGGACAGGGGCACAGAGTCATGCCTGGCGGTGGGGGAGAGGTGGGGCGGCTCTGGGGCTTACTGACACGAGGTCACTGTGGTCCCCAGCCGCCTCGCAGCCCAGGCAGCCAAGGGCACGTGGCTCGGGGCCCCTTCTTCCCTGGGAAGTCCCCACCTTCCCTGCATGCTGGGCGGCGGCTTGGACCAGTTCCCTTCCCTCTGCAGCCTGCCATGCCCCTTCCTCTCCGATTGGTGATCCGGTCCCCGGCATGGTGGGTGGAAGGGGGCACAGGTCTAGGAGCTCATCTCCCCCCACCCGAGACCCCACACCCTCTGCGCCCTGGCGCCCCGGCTCCTCCCTCCCACCCAGCCAGGCTCACCTTGCAGGGTGCCAGGGGGCAGGCGCATGTACAGGGGGTGCCCTTGCGCAGCCCATGGGTGTGGGGGCGGCGGCGGCAGCAGCAGCAGCAGCACAGCCAGCAGCATGGTCCCTGGGAGCTGGGGCAGGAGACCCCGTCCTTGTTCCGCCTCTCGGCCACCCTCCGGCCGCCTGTCCCTGGGAGCCTGCCTCCTGCTGCCTTTCTGCCCCTGGTGCGCAGTTTTTGTCCCTTAGATCATCTGACTGTGGTCTCCATCGAAATGACCCCTTCTGTGGGTCCACCCCTCACCTGGCCCTGCACTGCTGGAGCCCCTGGGGAAGAGGGCTGTGGGGATATATAGAGCACGGGCTGGGGGGGGAGGGAATGAGGTAGTGGGCTCAACCCTCACCTTTGAAGTCCCATCCGCCCGCTCCGAGCCCCCCTTCTGTGAAAA